CGAGGGTTCATAAAGTATGAATTATGGTAAGGATAAGGCATTAAAAGTGATAGCCAAATCTTAATGAGTAGGACAGTGCCAAAAAAGTAGAATTAAAGAGCTAGCTAGTAGTAATAAGAAAGAGCAGGAATAGTGGAAGATGAGATGGTCGGTATATAAACGAAACAAGTAAAAGAAAAAGATATGAAGACCAAGATGGTGTGGCCTTTGGCATGGCTGCAGCCTCACTTTAAATTATAGAAGTGGATTGCTCTCATTTTCGTAACTTTATTGTTGTCAGGGCGACTTAGTTTGACGCACCTTATCCGAAGTGGAGGACATTTATTGAGGACTACGATGTCGGCGAAACTTCTGGAAATGTGCCAAGTTAACGGTCCAACTCTGATTATTAAAATAACTACTATAGCAGAGGACCTCGGACAAGATGCGTCCAACTAAGTTACTCTGACATAAAGACCAAATTATGAAAAGGAGACCAAGTGCGGGTAGAATAAGGTTTGGTATGAAGAAAGGGCAGAAACTAGACGCAATAAGAACTGGCCACTTAAGCAAATTGTTACGGGGCCCAGCATAACCAACAAAAATAAATTCTTATAAATAGTTTCCCTTGATCGTTATAACCGAGGATAATTAACTATAAAATGCGAAATATAGTTGATCTGAACGAGAAATGGGTGCCGAATAGGCAAGTGGATAACGGTTGGTTGAAGGGAAAGCTAGTAGACAGACCTCAGAGTCACGGAGGTTCAAGTCGCCGCACAGCAACGAAGCGTCCGGCAGTATACTACTGCTTGTGGACCCGGTGGTGTTAATGGAACCTGCAACTTCTCGGTTCAAACGGGCCGCACGCACGCGGCCCATCTGCTGCCAGGCCTCAGTCAATTGGGCGATGCGAGTGGTGCTGTGGTCGCGACAGCTCTCGAGGTGCGTGGTGAATATGCGCAAACGAAGAGGCCGCGCAGCTTCGGGGCTGTGGACGAGGCTGGAAGGAGGAGACAATTTGGATGCAGAGATGGAGGGTGTTGGCGGATATAGCAGAGGAATGCGGTCGATGGTGAGGTCAATGCGGACAAGGTGTCGCCCCATGAGGCTATCTTGGTAAGGTTGAACCTACATTTAGTGTGTGCATATGCTCGGACGTGTATAAGTGTATGCGTGTGAACATGTATGCGTATGCGTGTTACCAGTGTGCATGTTGATGTATGCATGAAGTGAGGGTGAATGGAGAGGAAAAGCGGTGTTTTAGCAGGAGTCATGGAGGAACCTTTGCTCCAACAAGCAGAGAACAGGCCCTCCAGACCCGTACTGTGAGATGCCGGGTTCAGACCGAGTGATTGTCCCACTCGATTTGGCTCCTGTCAAAGAGCTATCCTTTAAGAAAGCTCCATCCTCCTTCAACAGAACTTGAGGTAGGCCAACCGACACACTCCCTACAAATTGCCTGCTATTGGCCCGACGAACGAGTTTAAGTGTCTTCCATTGCCTGGAAAAGTCAAAGCTTATCGCCAATTATCCGTGAGCAAGGAAAATTCCCATGAACGGGTCATCCATCGGCTGGTGCTGAGACATAACCCGAAAATGGATAAAAAGGAATCGGTATAAATGACTAACGGGCAGCAAAATGAATGAGTTTAGGAGGTGCCAAACGCAAGCATGATTTGTAGTCTCGAAAACTTATTTGTATTAGAGAAATAAGTAGAGTATTCGATTGCTATAGCAAATAAAACTTTGATTTATCGACAATCCAAACACAGAATGTGATATGGGAAAATGCCTGGCCTTCCTTGAAATTCACATCTGCCGTGTGAATGTATGGCACACGTGATAATATGGTGTCGATATTATTTGCTGCATTTTTAAGGTTCGAGTCCGGCTGCGGATGCCGATAAGACCTAAGCGAGGTCGAGACTGTAATACACTTTAGCCTAGACGAGAACGCCTTCTGGGAAAGCAAACAGAAACGTAGTGCATACTAATATCGTTGTGAGAAAATTAAATTACCAGTCCCCTTAGCCCCTTAGCCCCTTAAACTTCATATATGAATGATATCCCAGTAGTCTCGAAAACATATTTATGAATGAAAATTCACAGAATAAATCCAGGAAACCAACATATGATGATTGTAAGTACTGAAATCCATGTCCAGGACATGAATCACAGGCGAAAAAATTAGGAATTTGTCGGAGCTTACATGGTCGAGCTGTAGCGGGGATTGAGGCACAAGGCTGAACAACAAGTTTGAGATTTGGACTTGACTTAAAGGCAGAGTATAGCATAAGTAACATGCAAAAGTGCTGCCAAGTCTTTTAAGGTGCAGAAGCTTTCAAACGCCGAATTCTATCTTCCGCCCCTTCGCTTGTTCAAGGGAATACAAGATGATCACTTATCCTCAGCTGTGACGCACATTAGACCTAAGGATAATTTAAGTTATTCTCGATACTTCGATACTCGTAAGGCACTTAGCTAAGGTGGCGGTTGATGGGTTCCTCAACTAGCTCCTCAAAAAAGTTCACACCCAAGCTTAAATTTCTCAAAGACATTCTCCGAGTATTTGCATTTGTCTTCTTTCGGAATCCTCATTGTGATAGTTTTACTCCACTCGAGAAGATCGCATCAACTGAACAGCATAAATTGTGCCAAC